AATGTGTGAACGTGCTCTTTCTGAAAATTAACCTAGGTTGATTTTCAGTTAATCCTCTGCTAAATTGCTCCATATAGCCTTATATGGCTACCACTCCTGATCAGATGGCTTCTTGCTCCAGCTAAAATTAACACTGCATATTCCAAATATTTTGTGTGTAATATGTCTGGCATATATCTTAACAAAATAATAATATAAACAAACTCAAAAAATAAAAATATAAATATGGTTAAAACCAGCTTTTCACCCTTTTGGAAGAATGGATGGTCTTGTCAATTTTGCTGCTCTTCTAAGACTTCAAATCCACTCACAAGTGTAAGCAGCCTTGCATTCACCAGAATTTACAGCACATGGCTTCATGTACTGCAGTAATACAGTCATAGAGATTCTTAAACTCAGTATTTACAAGAGCTCTCATGTCTCCCTTTGGATCAATCTTCATCGTTCATTAGACACTTGAAATCCACTGTAGGTATCTTTGAAATCCAATTACAGAGTTATTTTTGCATTTTGAATGTAACAGCTTTTAACTGCTATGGTTATGTATGTCACGGTATCTGACCAAATATTATTTTCAATTCATTTTTAATAGTTGCACTGACCAATTTTAGAGCTTTAACTATGAAGAACCAATATTTGATAAGGGCAACAAAATATCAGAAGAATCCAGACCAGAGACTTTATATGCTGCTATTTCAGTGCTTTGTACTCCCCTTTCCCCAAACCTCTTTTAAATTGGCACAGGAAGGCGGGGAGGGATAAAGGGCCATCAATGTGAATTCATGCAGAGTTCAAATAATACCAGTACTAACCAGAAAGTGACTCTTCCCTTACCCTTTTCAATTTATATACCCCCTGCAGATTCAGAAACTTTGAAAGGGCTGTTTTGAAATCCATGCATTTTTCTTCTATTGAAGTTACATTATTTGCTGTGGACTAAGTTAAGGTCATCAGCTAAATAATTCCACTGTCATGCAAGAGCAATCTATAAGTCAGGTAGGAGTTTCTAAAATTTGTGACTCACCTTGTTACTCTTCCCTTTGTCTTACAAGCATCTTGTAGGCTCTCTGTTGCAGCCAATGCTGTGCAAATGAACTATCTAAGAACTAAATCAGTAGAAGCCTTTTGACTCCCCTCTTAGTCTCTCTCTCGCCCTCTTCCTTTCATAGGTGAAAACTTGTCAGAGTTGTTGGCCTGTAATGTATCTTTTTTTTTTTTTTTGCTGGAAACAACATCTGCACTTTGGCATTATTATTTCAGTTCATGCCAGAGCATGCTGCATAAATTCAAAGTTAACTTAATTTTTGACATTTCATAAAACAATTTGAAGGATTAATTTTCTTCGAATCTGATTTTTTCTTCCACTGTAGCCTTCAGAGCTTTCCTCTTGTAAAACATCTAAAATATATCCTTGTAAAGTACACTGTCGCTTGCACAAAAAGGGAAGACTTCTGCAGACTTCAAATCTCTGGGGCAGCCACAATATATTGGAATCAGCAGCATCAAATTTCTGGAGATCAGAAGGCATACTTGCAAATTATGGAGGAACAGAATAATTAATATTATTTATTATACATTTTCTTAAAACCCTTTTAACAGCTGAGGTTTTAAAGGATTTGTTTTATGAATGAGACTGTAAAAGAAATTTACAGAGGGCAAATTTTAAGAGTTTGCATATCCCATTTTGACTTGAGAGAAGGGTCTAATTTGATTGTTCGTAGAAGTGCATTGGCCACAATATGCTCTGTTGGCTTCTAGGTCTTTTTCCACGTTTCAGCAGGTGCACACAAAAGAGCACACAGCATATGAACTAGAGCAGCAGTGTTCATTTGTAGCTATTTTAAATAGCATGTCAGCCCTACAAGATAAATCAAACTGAGAAACAGACACCACATAGGCCTAAAACTATTTTATTAGAATGACTGTAGTGACAGAATCTTGCAAGTCTGAAGGTGCTTCCCCTCCTCCCTCTTTTATGTTCTGAAGAATTGGGGGGGGGGTGCCTGTCTGAGATGTTTTCATAAACTTCTTTGTATGGGCTTATGTATGGGCCATGTTTATCTGTTCATTGCCTTGGCAACAGATCTTCCCTCTCTCCATCAAGGTCATTCTCTATACCAGTATTTGTCAACCTTGGTAGCTTTACGATGTGTGGACTTCAACTCCCAGAATTCCCCAGCCAGCATGGGTGGCTGGGGAACTCTGGGAGTTGAAGTCCACACATCGTAAAGTTGCCAAGGTTGAGAAACACTGTTCTATACTTTCTATATAGCATTACAGTCTGCCCTGAATCTAACAGGTTGATATACATTGACAATAAAATGTATTTATTTCAAGACATAGTTTTGTACACAGAGTACTGTACTAAAAATCTGATATTGACATTCACCTGGACTGTCCAAAAAGAGTTTATCTCTGTCCCTACTTTTTAATCATACACAAGTAAACAATGATGCTCAGTTAAGTTACTTAACAAACCTGCCAGATTTTTCCCTACAACACAGTCCTAGGATTATCTTAGAAGTGTTCTATATTGTTTGAGCAGGTGACAGCACGTGGCCAGCCTTGGCTTATTTCAGAAGCTAAGCAGGGTTGAATATTTGAATGAAAGATCTTCAAGGAACTCAAGGGCTATAGAATACCCTGGGAAATTGGAAAAAAGCTTCCCAGAAAAAGATAATGGAAATATGTCCCTCCTATTGACAAGAAAACTATATGAATATGTATATAACATCCAGCTTAACGTGGAAGAAAACGTATCTTTGGGTTGAGCATGATTTCTGGTGATTGCATCTATGCAATTGTATTGATAGTTATAGAAGTGATTTAATGTTACCTCCTTCCAGAACACTTCTCTAGAAGGGCCAGTGCCACTCAGTTTCCCAAATGAGACAAGATTGGGTAGGTGTTGCCACCTGCTAAGGCACATACAATGTTTATGCTTACCTAATAGTCCCATTGGACAGAGAAATGGGCAGTGGAAAGAAACAGCTGTCAACTTTACGGTAATGAGGGTCCACTCATGCCTAACAAAGACCCTTCTTTTTTCCTAATTTGGAATAAATACAGAGGTACTGGAGTTTTTGGTACCACCTAGATTACTGTCAAAATAATATCTACAAAAAATACAGAACCAAGTTTCTGCATGGTAATTTGTCTGAGTTTCTCTCTTCTCCATAGGATCTACAGTCCTAGATCTTTAGAGCATACCAAGTGATGGCCTTTTCATAAAAAAAACCAGTATACCCAGGCTAACGTGTGTGAAATCTAACTCTGTTCAAGAAATTGTATCTTTGGCCTTTCTTGTTTCGTATGAATGTCCAAATATCTGAGTGCAAATACTATCTTATATAAATTTATTTCAGGAAGGCAGCTTTTCACATGATTTGGTACATCATCATCATCATACAAATCCACTGTGTCCACACTGCATTTTGTGATTTCTCGTCATTTAGCACTCAGCTTTAAAGTTTTCTTGTGGGTAAACTGTATCTTTAGAGAAACACAAATGTGTCAATAAATGGTCTGTAGGATAATTTTGTCTTGTCTTGTCTTGTTCATTTTTCATTCTTAAAGTGTTTTGTCTGTATTTCTATAAGTTCAACCCTGCTTAAGAAGCAAAAAAAGTACTTGCAATTCTGTGAGAAAGAATATTATATTAATGTATTTTACATTAATGTGTTGAAATTATAAAAGCACTGATAGGAATAAATCAAAATAATAACCAACAGTCCTTCCCCAAGATGGACACCAGTAAAGGAAATGCACAAAAATTGATACTTGGCCTGAAATGAAATGCCATGTGTGAACTCAAGAGCAACTTGGCAGTTCAGGCAGTCATTTCCTCTTCTCTCAGCCACTTCCCACAGCTTCTTTTCTGAGGACCTCAGGTCCCTTAATTGCTCTTTCCTGAATTGATTTCTATGTCCTTTGGACATAGAGGCTG